ATTCCTGTAATTTAAAGTATTTTGAAAATAAAAATATAACTAAACAAATAGTACATTAAAAAAATTAATAATTCGATTATTTAAATATTTTTTACCGATTATTTGAATATTTTGCCGATTATGCACATAACAATGAATTTTAATCATCCAAACACTACGGTAAGTTACATACGGTAGATCTTTTTACATCACATGTGTAAATGTTTTAATTTTCGCATTCACATAGTACACACACACACACACACACACACACACACACACACACACACATACACACGATAAATTTACTACACTTTCAATCAAGATAAATTTAGTTATGTTTATTAATAATATCGAGCACAAGAAATGGATTATAACGTATTATTACAGTTAAAATATGTATTCTAAGATAACATTCTTTTGTATTTGTTTAACTGGGAGGGAGACCTGATGACCTGAAATACAGGTTCGTCGCCTAGTTTAGGCATCAGTCTCTCACATTAATTTGTGCCTTTTTTTGTCAAAATTCGATATTGTTAATTCAATGTGGAGAGAAAAATAAACTATTATTATTATTATTATATCTTCTTTTCTATCATCATAATGATATTATTGAATACGAATTTCTTGCAAATCTCTACTAACTTCAACATGATGTCGGTTTGCATTTGGCTAATAAGGTAACTAAAAAGTATGTCAATTTTGTAAATCACAAAATGAATATACGGTTAGCAGCGTAACTGTTAAGTAATTCTGTTGAAACCAGCTTAGGGTTCTTCAAACACGTATTAAAATTACCTATGTTTGAAAATATCCAAGCGACAATAGGTTTTATAAAGTATATAAGCAGCATGTTTGACATTTTCAACTCCAGAAATTTTCTCAGCTACGGATTTAAAAAGGCCTTAAATTCAAAAAGAATGTAGTAGCTGAATGTGACAAAGTCTGTGAATATACTGAAAATTTAAAATACAACAACCAAGCTTTGATAGAGAGTCTAAGACACTTCAATGAATAGATTGTACTATCCATTAATTTCAAAATAAAATCATCATCTATTTATATGGTTCATAAAAGATAGCTTGATCTCTGCGACAGCTGTCAGTAAAAATCACGCCTATGAAGTCCTGATTTTCTTAGTAGTACAGAGTACAGACAGTATATGTTAGTGCATGCCCATAAAGTATGACATTGACAGGTACTGTCTATCGCAGAGATCAAGCCATCTTTTATGAACTATAATTTATTTTATTTCATCAATAATAAACCATAAACAACATGACTATTTTTTATTTCTAACGGAGACAGAGAATCCTAGGATGCTCTGTCTACGATTTCTAACCTATTAAATAGGTACATGTTGCTCAAAAACATGTATAATGGCCAACATCGATGTATTGAGCAGGATAAACATCGAACATCGATGTGTTTCTATCGATAACAACATCATCATCATGTCATCATCGATTTTTCTGCAACATCGATCATCCCTAATTCAAAGACTCTGTTGTCAAAATGAGTATATTAGCAGTGTGACCATATGTGGCAGGTTCCTGCCACTTTGGCAGACGGCCACTTATTGCTATAGTCATGGACTCTAACCTCCATGATCTAATCCATGTTAGAGAACAGGAGAACGATCACTACGTACTAAAGCATAGTCCGCCTGTCCTTGAAAATTATAGAATACATAGCGGTGCTGACGTTGGTGAGTAGTGACTGCGAAGTTAGCTGTTTATGAGTACAAGTAGGTGAAGTTAGTTGAATATTGTACAAATATTCATTTCATTTTTTCGTAGAAAATTTTCATGCTCCGTAATTTTGTAATTTTTGACAAAAAGAAACATTAAAAAATGGAGAAATATTTTATTGTGCGTGGATGTGCAAATGGTTGAGCATCTGATTGGAAAAATAGACTGAAAATGACTTTTATTAACTGCACTTAATGATTGCAACGCCTCAACGCGATCATTCTCCTGTTCTCTAACCTTCATGATAGTAGTCAACCAAATCTGAGAAATACATTTTAGCAGCTGTCAGACTTTATTGCAGCAAGTATGCCAACAAAAAAAAATGGGAACGTACAATGTTCGATTCTTAAAAAAAAATCGATATTTATTATTTAGAGTTGGTAATCATTTACAGTTTGGTTTTAATAATACCAGAATAAATTAAAAACTGATAGTTTAAAACCCAAGATTTTTCAGTTTCTTCGTATTTATTGTTACTGCTTATTTCTAGAGGCACAGTTATAAAAAATTAAGATTGAAACTAGATTAAAAATAAATTTATTCAATCACTTTCAGTACAACTAGTTGAGCAGTCGTTGTTTAGGCTAATTATTTGATTTTCAATAATGCAGTCAAAATTAATGTCTGTTTCAAAGTCATCCATAATCAGTATTTTTGTTTTTTCTATCACTTTTGTCCAATCATCCTGTGTGACATGGGCACATGCTTCAACGAATTTAGAAGAAATAGTTCAAAAGTTAGAGCCGAGTCACAAAATAAGAAGACAAATACAAAATCACAAAATTACGCACAGTAAGCTCCCGAAATGGCGGGTAGTTAAAATTACGTAGTGGTTATTTCAGCGCGGCCTTGTATATGAGTTTTATTGCCTACACAAATTTACGCTGACAAAGTAAAAAAAAATAACTTGTGTTATTCCTGTAATTTAAAGTATTTTAAAAATAAAAATATAACTAAACAAATAGTACATTAAAAAAATTAATGATTCGATTATTTAAATATTTTTACCGATTATTTGAATATTTTGCCGATTATGCACATAACAATGAATTTTAATCATCCAAACACTACGGTAAGTTACATACGGTAGATCTTTTTACATCACATGTGTAAATGTTTTAATTTTCGCATTCACATAGTAACACACACACACACACACACACACACACACACACACACACATACACACGATAAATTTACTACACTTTCAATCAAGATAAATTTAGTTATGTTTATTAATAATATCGAGCACAAGAAATGGATTATAACGTATTATTACAGTTAAAATATGTATTCTAAGATAACATTCTTTTGTATTTGTTTAACTGGGAGGGAGACCTGATGACCTGAAATACAGGTTCGTCGCCTAGTTTAGGCATCAGTCTCTCACATTAATTTGTGCCTTTTTTTGTCAAAATTCGATATTGTTAATTCAATGTGGAGAGAAAAATAAACTATTATTATTATTATTATATAGCGACATATCATTAAAACGACATCAAGTAAAAAAGTTGATACTGTTTAGTTTTTAATATTTTGCTTTGTTTCAAAGATTTGAATTTAAATTATTGACAAAAAACTATACACGTTGTAATGAAATAAAGATAACTTCATAATTCTTCGGAATTATGTAAAAGGTTATTTTAATCGTGTGAGCTCGCTTGTGCAAAGTTATTGTGGAATGTTTAATATGAAACATCAAAAGGTATTTCTTATTCCTTAGGCGTACATTACACGCTCATGCAGACGTCAATCAATTCCATCAATCATGATTGATTAAAACGGATGGTGACTGATAGGCGTACATTACGCGCTCATGCAAGCGTCAATCCCTGTATTACACGGTAGGTAGTGATGGAATGCCTCGATTCCAGTAAAAAGGGTCTCCGGTTCTCTACACTCAACATACAAAACACAGCAGCATTAAGTTGCTATTGTACGCTGGTGTTATGTGAGAGCGTGGTCTAGTTCCGGTCGAGCCGACTCATTTGTGCTACAACCATAATATAGCTGCAACGTGGCTCTATCATATAAAAATATATATAAGATTAAGATATGGGACCACTAACTTAAAAATTATTTCAAGTATTTTCTGAATAAAAAAAATAATACTCAAAAACTAAAAAGAAGTCAAGACACCTGATGGTATAACATTGGTCCCTCGGTAGAGAGGTGTAGAATGCTACTTGCGGAGACAATTTGGCAGCCTCTCATCTCAGGGGTTCCTTGTTTAAGGCAGGGGCGGCATCAGAGGCAGCTGATTTAAATAATCAGCGCAAATATGTGTCTCTGAGAAATGACTACGTATTTGTGTCACTCGCTGTAAAGACTATCGGTCCGTGGGGTCCACGTGCGGTAATGTTTCTAAAGAAAATCTATCCGCGACTGGTCGTTGCTGCTCATGAAAAGAGGGTTAGTTCTTTTCTCGTTCGGAAGCTAAGTATCGCTATTCAGCGAGGAAACGCAGCCAGAGTTTTTGACACGATACCACGGGGAGTATGTGCGTGTACGTGTACGTATGATAATTTAAGTTACTACTGTTAATTTATTTATTATAATTTTTCTCCAATATTTTATATATTTCAATGTTATGGAAACATTAAATATGAGAAAACGAAATGTAATTTCTTGTATGTTAATATATTAGGTACTCATAAGCATTTTCAGAATAAATATTATCAAATAACTAATCATAACTTCTTTTAAGTTAACGTAACTCTAAATAAGTTAGTATTTTCAACAAAAAAATAATATTCTAAAAAAAAAGACTATATATGCACACAACGAACGAATTGCGCTCTTACTCTTTCGCTTTCGTTCGCTCGTTTGACTTGTTTATGTACAGGTACAGCCAGCCCAAACTCGAGTTTGATAAATCCAACTCGTGTTAACTCGAGTTAGTAAATCGAGTTGACCCATCGCTACGTTATAGTGAGCGATTATTTAACAGCTGGCAAGTGGCAACTCTATCCATACTCTATCTTTCTGTATATATTACTCTACTCCAAGGAACATACTACTCTCTAACTCTACTCTATGACTCTATCTAAGAGTGGTGTTTTGGTCTAAAGTTGTATTTAGAAAATTTACAAAACAATAAAAGTTAATATTAAAATATTAAAAAATATAAAACGATTACATTAAAAGATGTGCATATTTGTAGTCAAGGGGATTGTTAGGCTTACATAATATGTAATAGTGCAATCATATAAGTAAAATTGTATGTTTACACTTTACAATTTTGGTGAACTATAACTAAACATTAATAAAATGGATATTCCAGTACAAATAGCGATTCGTTTAAAGCCTCCAAGCATTGCAGATTCACTACAATGTATATTTAGTAATCCAAGAACTCAAATAGTAATAACAGAAAGTGGACAGACATTTCATGTCAACAGAGCACTGCCAGTGGATTGCACCCAATCGCATCTTTTTAGTTCATTTATGATTCCTCAAATAAATTGTTTTTTGGATGGATGTGATACTTCGGTTGTGGTTTTTGGTCAACCTAAAACAGGCAAGACTTATACATTATTTGGATCAGGTATATTAGTTTTACCATATTCTATTTGTTTTATGGTTTTATCCAATTTTTTAATTATTACTATCCTTTCTTTTTAGGATTTGAGTGCATACATAGTGAATGTGATCAAGGAATAATCCCCCGCTTTCTGACTGATATTTTTCATAAGCTTAGTCAAATGCCAGAGAGGGAGTTCATTTTGCACGTAACTTGGATGCAAGTTGTTAATAATAACATATTTGATGTGCTTGGAGCCGGCTTGGTTAGGTGTTGCAATGTTGAAGAAGCTTTTCAATACATGCAGCTCGGCTGGCGACAAAGGTGCCCAGGGAATAACCACACAGTATTTACAGTAAGCATGGAACAAAAGTGGGTGGGCACAAATGGTGTTTTAAATCACAGAATGTCTACTGCTAGTTTTTGTGACCTTGCTGCCTATCCTGAGCCCAGCCTTTTTGCATTAGAGAATATTATAAAAGAATTAGTAGCAGGAAATCCTCCTAAACAAATAAACTATGACCAGTGTATCCTGACAGCTATGCTAAGAGATTCATTCGGAGGAAGAGCTTTTACTTGGGTTATAGGTTGTATAAGCACAGAGCCCGATGATTATCAAGATACATTGAAAATATTGAATTTATGTTTGTGCTGTAGGGGCATTAAAAACTTTGTTACAGTTAATTTGTTTGCAGACAACAACACTCCTGTATACACAGATAAAACTACTCTACCACCAGATAATAGTTTCAATTTACAATTTGCAACAGCACAATGGATAAAGTTAGTTTCCAATGCAGAGGGGCTTTTCAATAAAATTTTACAATCCAAGTCCTTATCTGAGAGTGATATGAATCAAGTTAGTGAATGGTTATTTTTGAAAGCAGAATGTGATGAGTGTTTGAATGGAGATATTGGTGGTGACAATAAAGATGTTTCTACAAAGCAAGGCTTACCTAGAATAGCAGAAGACACAGAACCCAGTGAACCGAGTGAATCTGATGTAGAAACAGATTCTGAAGATAGTCATTCTGAAACAGTATTTCAAGATAAAGTTGAGAAATATATGGAATACTTTAGAGAAAAGAATGATCAGTTGTTTGCTGAAAGATGTGAAGAATATTTAAACCATATTGATTCTGATGATATTACTTTATCAGAAACTAGTGGCTCCCAATCATTGCCTATTATGACATCACAGTCAAATTCAGGCCGAAGAAGAACTATTCAACCTGGAGAAAGCTTGTCAGGAGCAGAATTAGAGCTACTAAGAAAGGTGGCAGCTAAAGCAATATCTCCTGAATCTCAAAAAATTATATTAGAATCTCATAAGAAAGATGTTGATCCTGAACCTAAACTAATAGAAAGAGAATTATTAAAAATGATTGACTCACCAAAGACTGCTGAGATATGTAAAAAGTACAAAATGACAAAAGAGAAATATACTCAGAAACAAAGTCTAGCCCGGAAACTTTCAAAGGAAATAAGTAGCAGCCAGTCACAGTTGAAGGAATTAATTAATCTCTGCATAGCTAAAGAAAGGTTGATAAATGATCTTACAAAAGCTGTATGTACTAATAATCAAAGTAAAGTATGCACAGAGAAATTTGAATCTAGATTAAATGATCAAGACACTATAAAAGAGATAAAGAGGCATGAATCAAATCTTAAAACTTATAAGAAACAAATTGAACAAATCAAAAGACAAATCAAGAAAGACGAAAAACGAAGAAATACTTTAGATGTAGAATTGGTTAAGGATAAGTTAAAGTTGGATGAGCTTTCAGAAACTTCTGTCGATATTAAAGACAAAAAATCTAATTCATTGAAGCATTTCACAAATAGGATAACACAATTAGATAGCATTTTGAAGGAAAAGACAAGTGATCTTGCAAATTTAGAGCTATCCAAAGATAAAGAGGTAATGCTAAGAAAAGAAATTAAAAATTTACGCAAAACTAGGGAATGTTTGCATGAACAAAGATGCAGTTTAGGGCATAAGCGAAAAATATACAAATCATTGTCAGATTCAGAGGTATACATAATATGACTTTTCTTGATTTTATACAAACTAAATATACTTAAAACTATCAATTACAATTTCAGGAAAGAAAAATACTTGAATGTGAAGAAGCAATAGAGGCAATAGATACTGCAATAGAATACAAAAATAATTTAATATGTGGAAAATCCCCATCGGCTTCTCTATCTGATTCTCAGGATAATAAAGATTCCCAAAGTAAAGGAGAACAAATGCTAATGGCAAGGCTAGACAAGCTATCACATGATGAAATGAAGACATTATTGTATAGATATTTTGAAAAGGTAAAACATCAGGATATTTTCTTTTCTAGGGTTAACATACAATCATAACAAACATATTGTATCATATCAATCGTATACATAACTACATTTGTTAGTGATAGCTGTATGACTACTCCATTATCATTGTGGGTGTTGGAAGAAGTGACAGAGGGAAATGAATCAAGAGATGGAGAGCAGCTTTATGATAACTACTCAAATGATAAAAATTGATGTTAGTCAAACTTCAGCCAAGCATGTCACTAATGGCAAATTATATCTCCCCTATGGGACAATCTATGGGAATGGCTTATGTTTAAAAGTGTGCTTTTGAATGAGTAATAAATCAGTAAAGGCCAATTCAATATTATTGTAGAGTGTTAAGAGAATCTATCACCCTAATTTACCATGTGTGCCATAAGACTCTATCATATAGAGCCTAACATTGCCTATATACTTATTGTATGCCAGATGTTAAATAATAACAAGTGACAGGTGTAGGAAGTCAAAATGGGTGCAGATCGTTTAAGACCAAACTTTTTGGCATTACTTGGGGAAGCTTATGATTGGCTGTGGACCTGTGAAGTATTGCAATATTGGTAATGGTGAAGGTGTTTCATATTAATTCGCAAGTTTGGCAATGGATCTGTATTTTAATTCTTAATCCAGTAACCACTTGACTTTACTTTATAAAGCCCTTACTTTAAAAAAAATACATTTGGGATATGCCCATGTTTAACTGAGGACTGTTTTATGGGTTATGTTATGTTTTATATGTTATAACACAAATATATTGCAAGGTCTACATGCTGATATTGCTATGCTCTATCTTCCTCTAACATAACTTTCGTTCTTCTTCACTGCCTTTTAATTTTGACACCACATCATCCTTTGTTTTTGAGAAAATAATATAATTTGAAAAAATAAATATTTATTTAATAAAAAATTTTTTTGGTTGTGGTAACACACTAGAGGTTCTATAATCTAAGGCTAAACCAAGACAGTCATTTTGAGTAAATACATACAATTTTACAATAAAATCTAAAAATATAGTATAATATAGTATAATAATAATTACAACAATTGGACAAAATTTAATAACTTATTAAGTTTTTTTTTAAAGCTTACTATAGAAAAGATCAATATATTGAGAATAATGATGTGTGAAAATAACTTACTTTGCATTTGCTAATCAAACTCAAATTCAAAATATTTATTGTGAGTTAAGTGTAAATTTGGTGTTAATTTATTAAAATATTACATATCTTAAAACTTTATCTCCATTTGCTGGTATTACAATATTTGTTATATTTTATAGGCCGGTGCCTAACGTTTTAGTATTAACATTACCATGTGGCAATGGTGTAAGAATATACACCACCCCATATCATCCCATGGGTGCCATAAGAGGTGACATAGGGAAACAAATCTTGAGATGAGTAGCAGCGTCTTCCTATTAGCAACTTAAAATAAAAAACTGCGGTTACTAACCTGCTTACCAAGAGTGGCAACTATGGAAAATATCCCCCATCTGGCAACTTACGGGGGAGGCCTATGTTCTGCAGTGGTCTTGAATAGGTTGTAACAGTAACTGTGCCTAACATTAGTTGCATATTGAATTAAAGTTATCAAATAAAGTAACTTATATTAGATTTAAAAATTAATTTAAGTCTAATGACTATATTGTTAAAACTGAGAATTAATATTAATAGAATTTTTTTTTTTTTATAGGATAGGGTGACAAACGAGCACACAGTCCACCTGATGGTAAGTGGTTGCTGTGGCCCATAGACATCTACATCTATCCTCGATTACGAATCAAAATGCAGATGCGTTGTCACCCGTGAGGACTAAGATGGAATGCCTCGTTCCAGTAAAAAGGGTCTCCGGTTCTCTACACTCACCATACGAAATACAGCAGCATTAAGCTACTATTTCACGCTGGTATTCTGTGAGAGCGTGGTCCTTCCCCGGTCGAGCCGACCCATTTGTGCTACAACTATACTACTAATATAACTGCAGCATGGCTCTACCACGTATCAGAATTTTGTTTTTGTAAAATTGAAGGGTTAAACGAGCATACAGTCCAACTGACGGCGTAACTACTGCCGTCCATGGGCACTTGCAATCAGCTTCTTACATTGGTTACAAAAGTGTTGTCACTTTGAGGACTAAGATGGCATGCCATACAACGTGCAATTAAACTGGCTGTTTATAAACTTTAGTCCGGAAGACAGCACTGAAAGCATTGCTATTTGACGACAGAAATAGGTAAAAGTGTGATTTAATTGTAAGTTGTAATAAACTGAATTGTAATATGTCATTTAAAACAACACCCAGTTTCTTGCGAGTTCTTTTCTAAGGTTTCATTGTTGAGAATTTGTGTAGATTTTCACATTAATTAATTAAAGCCAAAATAATAAGTTTTGCCTTTGATTTAGAATATAGTATAAAATAATATGTTATGTGTAAATAATATACATATTATGCACTTATCACACAGGGAAATAAACAATTACAGCTACAATATAATCTAAGTCAAAGTCAAAACTATAATATATAGTTCTGGACAAATTTAGAGAAATGCAAAAAAGTGAGTATAAAACAAAATATCATTATATTTGTGACAATTAAGTTTATTAATTTGGATTTTGTTTAATATTTGTTAATTTAAAATTGCAAACAGTGAAAAGATCAACAATAAAATGACAAAAATTAACAAAATTAAGCAATAACAAAATTAAGCAAAAATTTTAATAATATTCTCCATAAGTGTTTAGGAAAGATTACAGTGAGCTATAATCAGTACTAGTGTTGCACCCCCTAACTTTTGGAACTAATTCCAATCTCCTTAGCGTACTACCAAGATTGCGTTCCATTCCAAACACAGCTTTTCAGGCAGAATTTATTTTCTTAAGAAGGCCTCTGGTAGGCAAATGTGAATTTATTCCCGCCGATTTCATTCTTTTTCTCAGTTTTTGAGCTTCGTTCTTACCTCAGAAGAAGGTAAGGTCCGTTTCTAAACATGCTGGTAACGATGAATGATGGCCACAGTTTTTCGGTTAGGTCCCTGTCTTGCGCGTCTTATGTACTGTCCTGTCTGCCGATACTTCTTGACAATTCGGTGTACCACAGATTTTCATATTCGTAATGTTTGGGCCACATGTAGGGGTGCCCAGTTTTAATTAATAAAACAGCCCTAGCAACTTGAATGACGTTTAGATCTGGCATTATCAGCTTAATTGCAGTAACAATTCACACTTAACACGAAAAACAAGACAGTCAAGGCAAACATTTAAACAAAATTAAATTTAAAATTAAATTCATAAGTTAGCTAAAAATGGTGAAAATTTGGTGGTTTTTCTATTTAACATATTTTATTAAGTTTTATAAATTACAAACCAAAATTTTCGTATATGATTTTTGACTATATGACCTTGGATTGCGTAAAAGGAAAACACGATATCATATAATTTTCTGCATAGAAAAAAAATTGCAAAGTGGGCTCTCATTATTTACATTTCTCTATGACACCACAATGTTCTTACAAATAAGTTCATTAAAATTATTTTTAAGGCATAGTAAATAATCATATCTAAGTTCTCATAAACCAGTTTTTTAATCCATAACGAAGTTTTGTTAAAATAAATAAAAATGTTGTTTGGCGCTTATTTATTTTTCCGAGCACTTGCTCGGTATGGTTATCTCATAATTCGCGTACTATGAAGTCATTGCATCACTTTCATTTTGAAACTTCCTCAGGCGTCCGTTAGCTTCAGCGACAAAGGAATAAGCCACGCCCCAAAACTTCGATTAATTTTCAAGGTATCCTCTTAAACTTTTTATTGTGTTCCTCTAAATTTGTCCATGAGTGTGTACGTGTGGAGTACTTTTACTTGCACGGCGGGTTTATCACGTTGTTTAGGTGGTGGACCTGCGGAGTGCGTGCGCGGCGCTCGAGGCGGGTGCCGCGGCGGCGGCTGCGGAGGCTTCCGCGTGGCGCGCGCGTGCCGCCGCCGCCTGGCGACACGCGCACAAATCGCGCCCGCCGACACATACCAGGTAATCATTAAAATAACGGGTGCGTTTGGCAGAAAAAGCGCTAGCAAGCGCTTGTTAGCAAAATGGCGAAACTAAACAGTTTTCGGCCAGGACACTTTGCTAACTTCAGTACTGTTGACACAATCCATCATTTTGCTTATTTAATTTTAAAGTTTGTTTTGAAGTAGAGTTTATAAGTTGTTTTATGCAATATTAGTTTTAAGTAATATAATGACATGAATAAACATATACATGTTATTAAAAATTCATGATTGGTAAGTTTTAAATATGAATACTTTAAAACATATATTTAAATTAGGTTAGGTTCCCCGGTTACTTACTACCTACGGTTACTTCGTGTCCTAGAGGAAAATAGCTACTTACGATTTGACAGCGCTTACTGCTTACGATCGCCATTTTGCTTACAAGCGCTTGCTAGCGCTTTTTTCTGCCAAACGCACCCAACGATTTTTAAAGATTTTGAAGAATTACCACCCGTGACCAGACATAAATAGGTTTTTTTTTATTTGAAAATTAGTGCTTACACTCTGGAATCATTAAATAATCAAATTCAAATTTTTTTGTTTCTATTTTAAAATGGGCGTGCAAAGTTTGTATGAAAAATATTATATTAGGACTCATTTCCCAAAAAGTTAGACGTAGAAAATAGAATCGTGTCAGTAGCTGCTTTGTATGACGTAGGCATCCACTAATATTTCTTAGTGGATGCCTACTTCGTACTTTTTAAAATTAAACCCTTAGTAAGAGGGGCGTTACCGTATAGTTGCGGTGTAAGAATATGATTATCCCATATCATCCCGTGGGTGTCGTAAGAGGCGGCAGAGAGAAACTAATCAGGAGACAAAAAAAAATGCCGTTGTCAACCCGCCGCCAAGCGTGAGAACTATGGAAAAAATCAATCGAGGCAATCTGGGGGAGGTCTATAGGGATAGGGGTGTTCAGTAGTGGACTTCAACAGGCTGATATGATGGATAGCCCTAATCGCAGAACGTAGAAGCATGAAATTATGACAATATTTCTTTCTTTCAATATTACTTTTATTATGTAGGCATTAACTAAGATACGATTTTGAAAAATTCAAACCCTTGGAGGGTGAAATAAAATGTTACAGTTTGTACGACACTTTTCATTTTACGAGGCGATTGACTAAAACTCAGTTAGTGCTCTGTTGATAAAATAAATGAATACATACGTAGTTTTCGATTTTTAAAAGCAAGCCCCTTACTTCTTTTAAACTATGCAACGGAATTTGATACGATTTTCACTGTCATTTACATATGTTCTTACGGAGGGTTTAATAATAATAATAATAATAATAAAGTTTTGAATAGTAGAGAAAGTTCAATATTTTGTAACTAAGTATCTCAAAATATGTGGACATTTCATGTAAATTAAAATTATTTCTTAAATTATATCATTTAAATTACTACTTGCTTTAGAAAATATCACAGATTTAAAATTATGTGCAACCAAAAAAACGTTGTCGGCACATGAAAACCGGCATTTTGAAGAGTTATTGCTCAAAGGGCATTACGCCACAAGACAATGGAAGAATTAATCTTGACAATGAAATTCCTTGCGTTTTAGAAAGTATTAGAAAATGACCTTCAAGAATTTATAGAAAAAGTTTATCCCAATAGAACCATCATCATTTTCAGTGACGATCAACAAATCACTTGGTCTAACATTCAACTTTGCGGGCGTTGAGTGTTTTTCTAATGAACAGCTACATGTTTTCATACAAAATCTGTTTGCATGGTGTAAGGAAAAATCAACTGTGAACATGGTGTAAAGACATACTGTAATGACTGGCAACTTTGTCATTATTAGTTTAATCACCCAAAGTTGTTAAATCTGTAAGCCGTGGACCAATTTGGATCTATATCTCACGATAATATTATATTTTCTTACCAAGCGCTTTTATCGTAGCAATGAATTACGATTATCAATACCAAAGCAACAAACTATATCGTCCGAACGATGCCGGAGCTAATAATGTTAGATATGTGAAATTTTGTTTGTTTGTTACGCTTTCACGTCAAAACTACTGTATGGATTTGGATGAAATTTTGCATATGGCTTGAGCTCGATTTGCTTTTTACTTTCATCCCGGTTAAAAGATCCGATGGAATTATTTTATTGTTGGTCCATACCAGGCGAAGGAAGTCGCGGGCGAAAGCTGGTAAAAATAAACAATGACAATGTAGATTACAGTATGTACTAAGACAATAAAACGAAGTAGACGATTTCATTCCAACAATGATGTTTATGTTCTGGAGATGGGAGAAATTTATGTAATTTTTGGGTCGAGCTGTTCCAGGTTTTTTGGTCAGGGAACAAAATTTTAAAAGTCAAAAAATTCTTTATTCAAATAGGACATTATATTAACTACGCCACTGGTTTGTAATCTTATTTGAAAGGATCTAGTAATGGTTTTTACTAAATCAAAATTATGATATAAATATTTTTTCATTAACAGATGTTTGGACGCTGGTTACATGCATGAAAGAGGTTTGTCACTAGGATTGACAACGGATTCCGAGACCTCTGACGACCCCGTGCGACTCGTCGATCGTATGAGGCAGCTTGCTCGGTACCCTCCGGTATGTGAAAAATTTAATTTGTAAATGTAATTACTAAAATAGATGTGGTTATATTTTAATAAAAGTTCCTAATTTTAACTTATTACAGGGCCCAGTAATACCTAGTCAGAATCTGAGACAGTTGATGCCCGCAACGAATGTGCCGGTAGCGAAGGTCACCAAGGAAAGGAACAAGCTTGTCATAATTCAGCAAAACAAAAAGAACTGATATATGGAGCACTTTATATTTTTAATGCTCAATCTGTTTTTAATACTCATTACTTATTTATATTTATTACATCACATTGAGTCTTTTAGCTTTATAAGTGAATTTCATTCTACCGTTACAGCCTATCAAAAGTCCACAGTTAAATATAAGCCTTACCGATAAATGTCCTACGGACATTTGCCACAGTTGCCACGTTTGGCAGACAGGATTTTTTTTATTATTTTGAGCTGTTACCAGGCAGATGCCACGCACATTTCTTATTTCAGTTTCCCCCTGCTCTGCCCTGCCAATCCAATACACTGTAACTTTTGAAAACCACATGTGAGATTTTAGACGATATATGTTTTTGATACTTATTGCTTTTTTTATTGATTACTGTTCATTAATGTATTATTTTATGCATTCGATAGTAGGTATATATCTCTAACTACATAGCCAAGTAGTGTTTTTTTTTAATAAATTTTGTAAGATAAAAAGATATTGCCATTAACTTGTATTGACAAGACAGAGTTGCCAAGTTTAAGTACAACTATAACAATGCAAAAAACTGTAAAACTAATTACAGTGTTTTGTCTTGTTTAAAAGTAGGTAAATAATTATGCCATAACACTGTATCCAATGATACAGTGTTTTAAAAAGACCAACAAAATGTTTTAATGTAGGTAGATACTTTATTAGGCAGCTATTTGTCAAATTTTGTAAATAAAATCAAATACAGTTATATAACATAAACTTTAATGACGAATCATTAATTACAATGTCTTCTAATATTTTTATAAAATAAAACATTAATAGTCAAAAACATCTAGCGAAACATAACAGTCTTCTATTTTTACGAACATAATTATACTTATTAATTAGTAACATTTGACGAAACATAACAATATTTTTTTTATAAAATTAACATAATAGAAAAATTTTGCGAAACAACATATTCTTCTAATATTTTTTAAGAACTTACACAATATAAACACAACCAATTTAGTCTTCTATGAGATCCATCATTTAATGAAAAAAAAAGTATTGATTCTGATTTGTGATATGAATGAGTTACAAATCAGAATCAATATGTATATCGAGATCAGGCGCATCTGACTCCTCAAAGGCTTCATAAAAAGTTCGCCGCGATACAGGCATAGATTTTGCAAGTGGTAGTAATTCCTTTTTTTTAACTTCATTCACACCTCTTGGCTTTTTTTCTCTTTCTATCATATTTATAAGATCTAGCTCTTCACCCATTTTCTTTCTTAAATCTCTTTCAACCTTTTTCTTTTAAATATGTAGTTTTTTAAATTCCCCATTGTAATCATTTTTGGCAAACATGGAGAGTTTACCTCTTCGAAACTCAATAATTTTTAAATTTTGGATGTTCCAGTCTTTTGGAAGTGTAGTTTTACAGTCATTCGTAAAAAGTACCATATCTTTGTGCTGGAGCACGTCGACATCAAGGTTTTTTCTTGACTCCTTGATATTTGTAACGAAGTCTTCAATGTCATAAACATCACCTGATGTTTTTAATTTTTTTGTTATAGTAGCGTGAACTGCATGCGCAGCCATAAATGTGTGGCCCGGTTCAAAATATTCTAATTTTAATGTTTGAATATCAGTTTTTCTATCGTTTACAACTCAGAATAATGCAGAAAAAAGAATTTTGTTTTTATTTTGAGCATTGCAATTGTCCAAAAAGAAGTTTAAATGGTGTAGGTCCCTGCAATATTTTCTTATGAAAAATGACAACATATGTGGTTGCTATTTTTATATATATACATAGCTTTCCTGCCGCTTTCGCCTTCATGCCACAGGATGCATACAGCATTTTTATTTTTACCAGGCGGCACAAATGACTCGTTAAATAGAAAAAGTTTTCTTGAAAAATAATAATCTTTTGTTCTAAGAAGTGGCATGCATATAGCTTTTTGCATGTCGACGGTGAAAACACAGCTTCCTTTCCTTCCGAATTATTACTTCGATCTTCTGCTAAACTTAAATCTCTTCGTGAATTGCGTTTATTTTCTAAGTGCTGGCCTATCATTTTACACTCTTCACAGTTACAAGGAAGTGGTAGTATCTCATGAGCTATTTTATGATTTTTACATTTAGTGCATATATCTTGAGGTAATTCTGCTGTTGAGAGATTCAATTTTTTTATCATCGTATGAAAATGAGTCCAACCACAAATCGTCGTATTACTTTCTTGGCAATACCGTTTAAAATCCTTATATATAGTGGAAAAGTTTATACCTATAGGCAAATACTTTCGGTTAGGCGCATGGTTAATATTGTAATGTGATGGAACAGGGTTGTATTTCATACTACACACTCCGGTGGAAACTTGTTAGATGGTGCATATCGACGTCCTCGAAGATCGGGTGTAGCGCTTATCTTCGGATTTTTATTACTCTCTAGATAGTTATTTTTATTACTCTCTAGATAGTTATTTTTATTACTCTCTAGATAGTTATTTTTATTACTCTCTAGATAGTTATTTTATTACTCTCTAGATAGTTATTTTTCAAGACTGATTGCACAGCTTCATCGTTTGTATATCCCAAGCACCTGAGAAAAAAAAAATACATACATTGACATCATTTAGGGTCCCTAGTGTGTTTTAGTGTGATATGCCTTCGAGAATTACCTTTTGTTTTAGTGCATGCGGTAGATAGCTTATCAACACTTCTTGATATAAAGTCGCGGCGCCGTTGCCGGTTCAAGTTCCAAAATTGTGTCCAAATAGACTGCCTTTCAGTCTCGGAAATCTTTTGAATACACTGTTTTTTACATGAACAAGGTGGCAACAATGGATGTTTTAATCTTTGTGTCTCTAATATAGCTGCTGGGTCTCTATTGCGCTTAGGTTTCTTTGTGTTTGACAGTTATCTTCGACGGCAGGTTTATCAATGGCGGTGGATTCTTCAAGGAAGCTACGTTTTTTTTTCTTGTCAGCAGTTCTGTTTCAATATGTGCAATAGGACTTACAGGAGCTAAGGAAGTAGACGGCTTTGGTGAAACTGAAGGTGGTGAAGAATGTGCTAAACAAGATGCTGGTTGCATTTCAGTCGATAATTCAGTAGATATTATGTTTTGTGTCACAGTCAAAAGATTCAAAGTATCGAAATCATCTTCATCTAAATTATTTATCGATCCAGTAGCAATGTGTTCTTGGTGCTTTATCGACTGGATTTTTGTTTTAGACGTAAGATCACAATATAAATTAGATTGAACGCTATTAACATGAATATGCGAACTTGTGGATTGGTGAAAATCTTCTGTGGAGATATTTGAGACGTCTAAATTCTTATCACAAATTAATGCAGGTACCAGTTGGGCGTAAACTCTTTCTCCTAATTCTTCTGAAATGCATTCATTAAGTTGAGACTCACTTAATGGAATGATAGGACTTATAAAGTTTCTTGATACTAAATGATCTTGAAGGTAATTTTCATACTCATTGTGATTATTGCGGTTTCTATTTTCTTTTTCTAGACAGTCACTTATCACATTGGACACAACAGTAACTGAGTCTGTGTTATTATAATGTTTAATATTTTGTTTTGACAGTCTAACTAGCATTTTACTTCGACTCGTATTCATCGTTAAATTAATACAAAATCACGGTAATTAAATAAAATACGACAGGCGATCACAGGGAAGGTACACAATATATCACATAATCACCGGTATCACTGCGCGTCACACGTAAACTGAACCGTCTTCAAACTTGCCGAAAAGAAGGGGGGCCTCTATAACGATGCGAAAGAGCGAGATAGCATTCATGTTTATAGATCATATTACGCTGGCGGGACAATATCAACGTGCGAGTATACGCGTCAGTTTAAAACACTGTATCTCCAGCAGTGCGCGTAGTTTGTTACGGCAAAATACTGTAAGCTTTGTTACAGTTTTCCAGCATAGTTAAACCTTAATTTGAACGTTATACAGTGTTTTTTAGCTTGCCCTATCCTGCAAAATATATGTTTAAATGACAAAAATATTGGTCAGGGGTACTAAACAGACCTACAGAAACTGATTGGGCGTTGTTGAGCAAAAACACTGTAAGTCGACTTACAGTCTTTTGGATTGGCACGGCAGTGCCGCCTCTTACGACACCCACGGGTCCATATGAGCTAGTGGATATTCTTATATTGGGGGATTGGTAATAAAACATTATAGTATAGTATAGTTACAGCCTATATAGGCTTACAACTACTATAATTTTGTTTAGGGAGCCTGTGCCCAGTAGTGGGACGTATATACGTCCCACTACTGGGCACAGGCCTCCCCCTCATTTCTGAGAGGGTTTTAGGGCAAGGAAGTGTCCGCCGCGCTGCCCCAATTCGTGTTGGCGAACTTCACATGTCTTCGAAATATTTTTTTCCTTATTCCTCAGACATGCAGGTTTCCTCACGAGGTTTTCCTTCACCGCCCAGCACGTGGTAAATCAGCACATAAAATTGCAATTAACAATTCATTGGTGCTGGCGATGATCGAACCTGGGTTACTCGCATTCTGTTATATTTACAGCGAGCGGTTAACCATCTGAGCTACCACAGCTCCGATGCATAAAAACTACTCAATAAAACATTATTGAGTAGTTTTTATGCATCGGTACTTATATTAATACACATATAATAAAATGTACTTACAAACTGGTGTACAGTGATTGCGGTTTGCACTTCGTTGTGCCATATTATGTTTATTTCTTTATTATATTATTTTCACGTGGCCTGGTCAGTCTGTATTGATTAGTTTTGAATGTCTTACACGTTCACTGTCCGATTTGCAGACAAAATTGTAAGACAATAACAATGAACTATACTTAGTACTCGGGACAGCGAAAGGGTTAAGATTCAAAAGTTATATCTCTTAAATACGCCTGTAGTTCGTTAAGTCTCATATAGTTTCACAGCGTTCTTAAACGCTTTTAAAGTAAGGCTCTAGAAGTGTGTAGACCTCAGTGCTTTGGTTTTGAGTTCTTGTAAACTATATTCGAAACACTTCTT